CAATCATACCACAAGGATGCTTGCTCAACTATGTTCATAGCAGTGTTCTTCATATTAGCCAGAACCTGGAAACAACCTAGATACCTCTCAACTGAAGAATGGATAAAGAAAATGTGGTACATTTACACAATGGAGTGTTACTCAGCTGTAAAAAACAATAACATCAGGAAATTTGAAAACAAATGGATGGAAGTAGAAAATATCATCCTTATTGAGGTAACCCAGACCCAGAAACACAAATATGGTATAGACACACTCATAAGTGGATATTAGCTGTATACCATGCTACAATTCACAGCTCCAGAGAGTCTAGGTAACAAGGAGGGGCCAAAGAGGGGAAATAGAAGAGATCTCCTGGGTAAACTGGGGGTGGTTGGGGATGAGAATATGAGGGATCAGGTTGGGGGTAGGATGGTGGGCAAGAGTAATGAAAGCAATGTCTTGATGAGGGACATTTCTGGGTCAGGTGGAGACTTGGTGCAAGGGAAACTCCAACAAATCTGCAAGGATGACCCCAGCTAAGACTCCTAGCAATAGCAGATAGATGGTCTGAACTGGCCATCTCCTGTAATCAGATTGGTGACTACACTAATTGTCATCAGAGAGCCTTTGTCCAGTAACTGATGGAAGCAGGTGCAGAGATCCACAGCCAAGCACTGGGCTGAGCTCTGATAGTCCTGTTAAAGAGAGGGGGGAAGGATTGTATGAGCCAGGGGCTCAAGGTCATCACAAGGGAACCCACTGAGAAACTGGTGCAGCTCAGGAGCTCACAGACACTGGACCAACAACTAGGGAGCCCTCATAGGACTGACCTAGGCCCTCTCCATATGTGTGACAGTTGTGTCTACTTGTGGGACTCCGAGCAGTGGGAGCAGGGACTGTCCCTGATGCTTTGGGTGGCTTTTGAGAACCTATTCCTCACACTGGGTTGCCTTACCAAACCTGAATACCAGGGGAGGAGCTTAGTCCTACCTCAACTTTGATAGGCCATGCTTTGTTGACACCCACAAGAGGCCTACCCCTTTCTGAATAGAAACAGAGGAGGAGTGGATTGGGGGTAGGCATAGGGGAGGTGGGGGGAGGAATTGGGATGAGAGAAGGGAGGGGAACAAATTTACTTAATAAAAAACTCCAATAAATACTAAATGAGAAACAAACAGGAAGTCAGAAGTGAAACATGTATTGAATATGTAGCTTTTAGTAAACTAGCCTCAATCTTACAGAGCCAAATATACAAAGGTGGGCACCAGCCAGAGACTACAGCCCGCTCTTCTTGCTTATTTTGTGACAGTCACCATTTAGATGTCTACGAGACACCACCTAAATATAACAAGTATAAAAACTGAACAATTGAATTTTGACCCTCATCCCTAAATATGCCCTTTTCTGTCTGTGAATGACATATCCGTCAATCTACCGTCTGCCCAACTGTTTAGAGGGGAATTTCCATTCTCACTTGTTTAATAACCAACATTTTTTAATTCACTTGGAGTGTTAGCAGTTTTATCTCTGGAAGAGACTCTAAACTCGGTGCTTCCTGCCATCTCCACATCCTGATGTGAGTCCTGCGGCCACCACTCATCCTGTCCATGTGGATGTGGCACTAGTCTCACACCTGGTCACCCAGCCTCCTGTTCCTGTCTTCCTCATGTGCTCCACTTTATGATCCCGCAACAGAAAGAACACAGTCATTGCCTCCTTGGGCCCTTTCCCATGTCTTCACATCTGTTCTTCCATGTATTGCCATGCCCACATCTTCCGTATTTAGGCCCTAGTTTCAAGACTATCTCCTAAGAGAAGCCTTCCTTACCACATAGACTGAAGTTTTCTGTCCTGTTTTTCAATATCCATGGTTTCTTTCTAGTCTAATTTTAGTCCTGGTAATATTTAAAATAATGTTTGAAAACATACATACAAGTAACATCACACAGACTGAGCATATTTTATATATATATATATATATACATATATATGTATACACACATATATAAATATATATATATATACACACATATATAAATATATATATGCAGGCAATAACAATTAGTGAAGAAAGAGGCCGTGAATCTGAAGGAGAGTGAGGAGGGGTATATGGGAAGGTTTGAAGGGAGGAAAGGTAAGGGAGAAATGCAACAATATTATGATCTCAAAAATGAAATCAAGAGAGCACAAAAAGGTTTGCCATGTTCCCATTGTTTCTATGACTGTTTCTAGCTCTAGTTTTCTAGAGGGGCAACATCAGACAATAAAGCAGAACCACAGGTACGTTCATGTCTAGAGAACAATCAGACAAGGAGGCGCAAAGCCAGAAGTTCCTGAAGATGAGGCAGGATAGCCAGGACCTTATGACAACACTAACACAAGCAAAAAGGAATGTGTTTAAGTCAAATTGCTAAGGAAAATTAAATTGGCAAAAGAATGTTTAAGTTGATACGTAAAATTAGTTAAGTATGAATCTCTCCTCATGACTCATGTTTTTGGATATTAATTTTGGTATTTTTCATGTGTCTAAGGCATATACAGTGTTTGTCTTCAGATCATGGAAAGGAATTTTGAGAGAGGATTAAGCCATAAAGTCTTGTTTGTGCTAACAGAAACCAAACAGTGACAACTTGGTCACATTCTTTTACTAGTGAGACATTTAGAGTAGTGGTGGCTCCTAAGATAAAGACAAATGTGGGCCAGGTAGGGAATGCTGGTGACTGGGAAGCAGCAAACATTGTCCAGGCTGCACATGTTGGCTGAAATGCAGCGAGTCCAGTTGGAGGTGTGCCTCATTCAGCCTACTGGATATTGGGATGGCAGGGGAATGGGTGGCACAGAGGTTTATGATGTGATCGAGACTTACACACTAAGAAAATCTGTCTATGATGAACTGGAGGTAAAGAAGGGTTATGACAGTAAATTGACTTTAGAAGTGAGTGAAGATAAAGGACTATCAGATACCCAAGATTCAGATGATCAGGGAAAATGGAGATACCCGGACAGCTAAGGAACCCAGAAAACAGTGATAAAGTAAGAGATAACTTATTCCTTGGGGACATACAAATGGTTTTAGAAATTTAGAGGGATGAAATTGTGGAGATACAAAGGATTTTATAACTTTTCTATTTGATAGTGCAGTGGGTTGTACATGCTGTCTTTGCTTTTGGTTTGTATGTGGATGTGCAGAAGCGAAGCACAGATGAGAGAGTCTAGAGTTTCTAGTACAAGTTCTTAAGTGTTTATCATTATTTGGAGGTTTTGAAATCATCACTCACTGCCATACCTTTTTTTGTGCAGAGGACTCAAGGGTATTTTTGGTTCCTGTGATTATACAGGGATGCTCTGCTGAAAGTGTGTTCCTTTGGGTATAGTGGAGAAAAAAAGCAATAAAGAAACAAAAATAAATGGAATAGATGTGTTTTTACTTATGAATATAGCCTGAATTTAACATTGGTAACTTATTGTCAAAGCTACAGTCCTGTTTTGTTCTTTATTACAACCCAGGGAAACAGAGGTTAGATTCTCTAAATAAAAATGTTTTAATATTTATGGGGTAGTCTACGTGGTAGGATATAGATTTGTAGGTATTTCCCCATCTTATGACATTAGGAGAATGTTTCTTTCTTTTTTACTTTTTAATTAACAAAGTATATAATTGGATTTCACAATTAAGCTCAAAAGAACTTTATTTTTCCTTCATTCAAATTCTGCATTTATAAGGACCAGCCAGGGCTATTGTTAGAGATTTGTTTTGTTATCTGGAGAGAGAAGTGGGTTTCAGAGCAGAGAAGAGGTAGGGCACTTGTCTGGTAGAAGAAATGATTCCCTTGAATGAGCACACTGAAGGTTAACAGAGGAGGCAGATAGAAAGACAGAAGCCCTCAGGAGAGAGTCCTCCCCACCAGCTGATGCCAGGCAACTTTCCAGAGAAGAAAGTTATGACACCCATTTAGAACCAAGTATGAGAAATTGTGGATGATCAGTGGTTCTTCAGGCCTGGTGCAGAAATGGGGTCACTGAACACCACGCTGCATTCAGCTATGCATCTCCCATGGACACTGCCCTTCTAGAATCTGTCTCATTGTTTCATGAAGACCTTTCAGGGGCACTCACCATTCAGGGTCCCACAGGGTATTTGTGTATCAGGATAGACACATGAACTTGTGAATCAGGAATGGTACCTTCTGCTTTCAGAAACATTCTGTAGGAACATGGAGCTATGAGAGTTTGCATAGCTTGTAGTCAGCAAAGCCATTTGAGAGATTGGGTTCAGTCAATTAGAAAACCACAGCTCTCTGATTATTTTCTTCTCTCCTTCCTGCTGTCTCCTCCCCTTCTTTCCTCCCTTCCTTATCTACTCTCTCCCCAGTTCTTCAAATAAAACATGCTAGTATGCATTTTCTTTATCTTTAAACAAAAGCCTTTTGAGTCCCATTGTGTGTTGCAGGTGGCTAGCAGCCTTGAGCCTCACATCCGTGCATTAGCCTTCTTGCCAGAAAAGAATGTTACTCTCTTAAATGCTTACCAGATATGTTTCATTGCAAGAGCCACACATTTCTAGGAGCGTGGCTTATCATGACTCAGTCTGTTTGGAGGCTGGGTGTCTACTGTAAACATCTAGAGGAGAAGGTGGAGGAGGCAAGATAGAGAAAAGCTCACAAGCCCGGAGATTTGAAATTGTGAAAATCACCTCAAATAGCTGATTTACAACCTTTTAAACTGACTTTATAACTCAAAAGGCCTGCAAACAAGAGACCCAAGTTCTTTGAACTGCATTTAAATGCTCCTGCTGAAAATTCTTTTATGTTGTTTATTTATAGTCTGCTTCAGGCTTTCTGAAGTCTGAGTATTCATGTATATTTCATAAAAACCATACAATTTTTAACAAATTTTGCTATTTTATTGTTGCAGGTATATTCAGCTATCATATGTGACTGAGAATAATGCAATTATGATATAATCATATTTCATGTCTTCTTTAAGTGTTTGAGTTTTGAATGACGACCTCGAACTCCAGAGCAACTGCGTACTGTGCCACCAAGAGTGAAGTACTTACTTTGGTAATGCTGCCTTCCACAGAGCAGCAGACAATGAGAGAAGCTGAAAATGGAGTTTCTACAAAACTTTATTAACTTTGAGAGTGAAGGAGAGCACAGATGTTTTTATGTGTTTGTTTTTCGGTCTTGTGTTTTTTTATTGTGTATGGTTGTGAGTTAAATATTAAGTATGATTACAGGACTAGGTTAAATTGAAGCGTGTTTTGAATCTAAGGGAACTATCCATGCAAACGGAGTTAACCTTCTTGGTCATCATACTACGGGCTAATCCAGGGACAGGCAGATCCAGACTGACATACATAGTGGAGTTACTCACTTGGGACTAATAGTCTGAGGCCAAATGAACAGTCTCATCACCTATCAACCCAAAATGCACTCAGTCTTGTGTCTCATATAAGCCATTTACAATTTGTGTGTATAAGTTATATCTGGCATGTTAGCTTTTTATCATCAATATTCTCCTAATAACTATTCTTAATCTGTTAAGCAAGCAGCATAGAAACAATGTCTAATTGCTGCTTGCCAGTGGAAATAGCTAGGATTTTTGTCTTTAATGGAAACTTGTCAAAATGTCTTAAGTAGATTTTTTTAAGATATTACTTTTTCATCAGGAAGATATTTTTATCATTGAAATTATCAAAAGAACAAGTAAAAAAAATAGAACAGCAAAACCCAGCACATTTAGGTAGGATTTTGTCCACAAGCCAGATGAAATCACAAACAGTTTGAGTATTTAAAAAGAACAAAAGCTTCATGCAAACTGAGAAATTACTCAGGAAGAAAAAAAGAATAGCAGCCCCTCCCATCTGACTGGCTGCCAGTTTTTTGTGTTTATTCTTACATTCTTTATACTTGCACAATCTAACACATTTATCCTTCCCACAGGAGTTACTCTGATATGCATTGCACATTAATATGCACATTTAAATGAGGAGTCAGGTTCCAGGTTATAATAAAAACCACTTATGAAAAATGCCTTCCTGATTTCAAATCTTTAAGACAGCCACAACAGATGAAATTATTTTTCAAGGAAGGTAAGTTGGGCTTTATTGCTTCTTTCTAAATGTTCAAAATTTACTTTATTAGTTATTTTATAGTGTGTCCCTAAATGAATACATTCATATCAGACCAAGGGGAATGAAACTCGCACTGAGAAGGCTCTCTAATGAGCCATGCAGAACTGAAATAACTACATATGCATTCCACAAATGGACCATTAATTGGAAAAAGAACCAAAGTGTGAAGACATAATCCTATAGGATGGAACTCAAAATGGTGATATATTTTAAGGCATTAGAACTTTCGATTTACTTTTGTGAAAGAAAAAGTAAAGGCAAATGTGAAATCTGATTCTTTTCCCCATCTACCTCAGCCACAGCATTTCCATTAAGCCATTGTGGTACCATCGAGAAAGAAATCATTTTTTAAGAATTTTGTCAGTTCAGGAAGAACTCTCCTCTTGATCTAATCCATTTTCCTTGCTATTTCAATAGCCTATATCTCCACACTGGTGGTTTACTCTCTCAGGTGCTGGAGAAACTGATTAAGGCATGATATTCTGAGTGTAGGAGAGACAGGGACATGTCAATACTAATGGGTCCCAAATTGAACCTGAGCTGTGTTTAGATGAATTCATCTTCTACACTGGGATCCTTCTGAGAGTAATGCTTCATTACAGTCAGGCCACAGGTCTGTCTGGGATGCACTGCAAGTACGGTGAGCTAGCTCCTTCGAAAGAACACCTCACTTGCTGCCTTGCAGCTGAGCTCCATCCATGGCAACGCGTAGTTTCTTTTTCCTTCTCTGGAGTGAAACAAGTCTCTTGTTCAATGTCTGCTCTTACCTTTGTTCAGCACTCACTTCTTTGACTGCAATTCATGGCTTCTCTCTACCTTCTTTGTCTGTGTATATTATTTTATGACGTCATTTAAAAGCAGTGCTTTGTAGACTATTCTCTGTGACAGGATGTGGTGTGGGGATTAGTGAGTTGAGGACTAGAGGCACAGGGTGTTTTTCACACACCATTTTTGCCTCAATTATGGAAGCACCATTATTTTTCTATTTTATTTGTTCTTCCCAGTTAGCTTTTCTTTCTTTCTTTCTTTTTTTTTAGAGCGAACAAGTTGGCTAAAATGTATTAAAATATTGATGCAATTTTTGTTAGTGAGGATGTGAATTGGCTTCAGATCTGTGAAACCGTATGTGGAATATAGCTGTATATTTTTTTGAGTAGAGACACACACTAGGTTTCTTATTTATTGAAGAAGTTTACAATACATTAAGCAGAACTCGTCAAGGATTGTGTATGACACTCTCGGTTTTCTGAAGAATGTATGATTTAGAAATGGTGCATTAGGGCTTTGAAACTGCTGACTGCTGACAGATCATCCTGCATGTTTCAGTCCAATCACTAATGAAATGATCTTGGGATGATGCAAGGATTCTTGATTTTCAGGGGAAATGAAAAATGCTCTTTGAATTCCCACCTGATGTAGTCATTCTGGCTTTCATGTGGACATATTTGATATGTGGGGTATTTAATACGTTTTTGTTCAATAGCCTTGGACAAGACATGGCAAAACAGGAAAAATATTGAATCCCATCATGTTTAAAGATGAAAAAAAATCAGTTTTCTATTGTTGTCAAACAAAAATTCTTTACACTAGACTTAAAATAACAGCATTTGCCATTTCTCATGATCTTGTATTGGTCAAGTATTTCTTCAGAGCTGTCTGGGGTCGCTCAGTCTGTGCTTTGGGTTGAGAGTACGGCCCAGATGCCTTGATTCTCCATCTAGAGTCTTGTTCTGTAGTATTTCTACAGTTCCTCCAAGAGACTCCCCTGCAGCTCTCTGCAGCTTGAAGACTGGATTCCCAAGAGAATAAGACTCAGTGCAAGAGCTTATAAAGCCTGTTTGTCATGTTTGGTAACCTATGGCCAAGCAAGTCCCACATGTAAGTGCAGAATCAGTATGGGAAAGACGCCCCTTAAACATGGTGAGTAGGAGGCATGACCCTTTAGGAAGCACTAGTGTGGTGTCCCGCATACAAAGGAACTTCTGAAAGTGAGTGTAAGGCAGGTCAGTAACTTACAGACAGAAACAGAACCTATCACTTTGTTAAGGTGTTATGACATTTTAAATATCCAACTTAAGAAGATATATCAACTCATCTAATTTTAGAAAAAATCTTGATTTAAAACTTTTCTGAGGGCAGAAAAAAATGACCAAGTATTTTATTCAAAGTATTTGCATAGAGCATCCAGGAAATGAAAACCAGTGGGAGCATAGGCTTAAGTACTAAGGTGAGACTGAGTTTAGGAATTTGAGAGTCATTCTTATGAATTATTTTTATAAATATTGTTTCTATGCAAAGGCTGATAAAGATCCATAACCAAAAACCAAGTAAAACAAAGCACATACACAATGAGGAAGCAAAGTCAATTCTAGGAAGAAATATTCTCACAGTTACTTCTAGGGTCATTAATAATGTTTTTGGTACTATGCTGGGTTTGTGACTAAACATTATGAAGAAACTAATGCTGATGTGAAAATACTGAAAAATATTTGAACTAAAATATTTTAAAAATACAGAGAATTCAATAAACTAACACCAAGAAAAATGAAACAAAAAACCTAATTAAAATGCAAGCCATGGAACCGAACAGAACAGAAAATTCTCAAAAGAAGAAATACAAATGAATAAGAAATATTTCAAAAAGTGTTCGACATCATTAGCTGTCAGGGAAATGTAAATCAAAGGTACTTTGAGATTTCATCTCACCCCAGTCATAATGGATGTCATCATGAAAACAAATGATAACAAATTCTGGTGAAGATGTAGAGAATCCCTCCTCACTGCTGGTAGGAGTATAAACTAGCTCAGCCACTATGGAAATCAGGGTGGAGATTCCTCAAGCACCTGAACATAGAACTACCATATGATCCAGTCGTATATTACTGCTGGGCATGCGCTCAAGGGATTCCATATCCTATGACAGAGCAGCTCTCTTTGGATGTGTTCATTGCTGCACCATTTACAGTCGTCAGAAAGTAGAATCAGCCTCGATGTCCATCAACTGATGAATGGATAATAAAAATGTGGTCCATACACACGATGGAATTTTGTTCAGTTGCAAAGAAAAATGAAAACCAGGAATTTACTTTCTACCTGCTAGCTAGCCTACATAATGCTGGAGGATGTTTTGCAGACCTTTGTTGGAGAAAAGCCATTAGTGCTATTATTACTCAGCTGACCCTTGAATGCTACAGTGCTGTGATGGTGTGATATTGGTAAGATAGTTTACAGGTATAATCAACTACTTTTTAAAATCAAATTTGAGGCCTGCAGCACAGGAAGGAGGGAATCCATGCCTGGTACTATAAACCTGGTCCAAAGCCCCTGCTTTAGGAGGTCATAGGCTCTAGTAAACCCACTGTTGTTTCGATAATTGGAGACCTTGTCAAACTGCTTTCTAATATTTATGTTTATACCCATAGGTTAGCGATGTTATCAACTTTGGCCAGAAAAGCTTTCATTCTTTTCTGCAGCCAGCAGCAATTAATGCAGAGACTCATAACTGCTAGAAATGCTGAGGATAAATGAGTGTTGAATGCTTGGTCCTAAATCTCTGTCAACCCCTCTTCCCTCCTGCCCCAGCAAGGCTCAGGGAACATTGTGGAGGAGGGGACAGAAAGAATATAAGATCTCAAGGATGAGGGGGGAGTGCTGTGAGATTCTGTCCTCTGAATATACCATGGTTGTTACACTCACAAAATCACTACAGATGTCATTACCTGCAAGACATGCACAAGGTCAATCCAGCACCAAGTGGACTCAGTGGGTTATAAATAATGGAGAGGACATGAAGGTGGAAAGGGGATATATTGGATGTTGTTTGAGGGAAATGGAGTTTGGGGGAGAATTGAGGGTAGATATGAGCAAGATACACTGTATACAGGTATAAAATTGTCAGAGAATAAATAGAATGTGTTTTTTAAACTAAAAACATGGTTCAAAATGATCAGAGATTGTCCAATTAATCGATGCTCTTAAATATTTTCAGGATAAGTAAGCATTAATAAAACCAGATAAAGATTGCGTGTCTCCTCTAGAGAAGAAGACAACACTCAGCACTTGAGATACAAAGAAACCATCAATTAAATGAACACAGGTGATATTTCCATATAGAAAGTATTGGTATTGGAAATATGCACATTTCATTCTGCTCAAGATGTAAACCAAAATCAAATCAGTTAGATCCCTTCCCAAAGTCAAACCCATTAGGTCCCTTCTCAAATGAAGTCCAGTGGGTTCCTTCCCCAAATGAAGTCCATTAGGTCCCTTTCCAAAATCAAACCCATTAGGTCACTTCCCAAAACTTTGTAAAGCTTCAGCTTACAAAAATGTTTATGGAAGGATAAATAGGGAGAACAGTGTTTATTGTTTTAAATAGAAAGCAAAAGTCTGGGAATTACCAGATACTTAATATTAAGTAGTGTAATGATAATCAAAACAGGATTTGACTAGCACCAAATCTCAATGCTGACATTACCAAAACTGAATTAAAAAAGTCAGGAACAGGCTTCAGCATAACCATATTTGATGTATGGATGGGTGAAGTTTCAAACCGGTAGAAAAATAACAATTTATGCAGCAATGCTTGAAACTTGAAAATAAATCTCCATTAGCTAAACATACACTGAAAGTGTTGTCTTTCCTCTTCTTACAGGGATATGGTTTTCTTCCAGTCATTACTCCACATTCTTTGTGTAGAGGATCATCTCCCTGCTTCCACCCCTAACACCTGCAAAGTGTTACTCATTTGCACCTGTCCTCAGATGCGGACCTTTCCCCAACATCTGATTTTCCCACAGTGGGTAGGACAGCCCGCTTCTTCTTTCCACTGAGAATCTCGTTACCGTCTCCGGTTTTCTAAAGTCTGAGAATATGGAGATACTAACTAGGGTGTTGGGATTAAAAAAAAAAAAAAAGGTGAAACAAGACTTTAATTTGTCAGTGGAAACTTCCCCTTT